CTTTCTATTGGTTATAGGTCATATATAATGAAACATAAGAAAGAACTATCAATGAATTCTGAAAGAGAGGGCGTGGCAGGAGGGGGCTGATTTTCTGATCGATAGCTCTGTAACCAAACAAAACTGAAGGCTATAAAAATTATGATTTGTCTGAGCAATAATGATTTTATAGAGAGTAATTTACGTTTAATTGCATACTTTTTTGAAGGGTGGTGGATAAAATATGGATGATGATATATCAAGAGAAAATGTGTCATGTGGGTCACACTAGTGGAAATTCAGAATTTTTTAAATATTGCCTTGTAGAATTAAAAACTTAAAACTTGTATACTATTAAAATATGGATTATTAGCTAAGATTTTATGCTATTCTGATTGGTATAACATAAACAAAAATTAGTTTACTAAAATTTTGAATGTATGACACTAAAACTTTGTGTCATGCGCAGTAAAGGATACCCATGGCAATAGGGTTAACAGTGTTTTTTGTAATGGTCATTAATATTACTTTTTTTGTTTTTTACCAGGAGAGGATCCCTGCTAAGCACATCAATATTTGTGTATGCTGCTACATCTCCTGTGAATGGGTACTTTGGTGGCAGCTTGTATTCTCGCATGCAAGGTAAAATTTCATTGTTAATTTTTCTTTTAACCATTTAGGAAAAATCTGTATTAAAGTTGATATACCTGAACTTTTAGAAGCTTAAACAGCAAATGATATAGTCTTCTGTTTCAAAGAAATATAGAGTAGAGAATAAGTTCTTAAAAATTAACTTTCGAATATAGTACTTAACAGGTATTGCAGAGAATATTAAGCTTCTCAATTCATTACTACATAACTCATTTAAAATCATTGTTGTTATATTATTTTTTTATTCAAATTATCATAAGTACCAGTTTACCAGAAATGGAATGCATAAATTTTTAATTATTTTTACAAAGTGTATTTGTTTCCAGATTTTTTTAGTGTCAGAAATTCTTTCTTTCAGAAAAATGACCTTTAACTTAAGCCATGTATTACAAGAATGATTTCATCTGTTATTATGCTGGGAAACATGCTCAGTCTTTGAAATCACAGTTTAATGGTTTGTAGCCTGTTGCTGTGGAAACCCACCAGTGGTTTGGGTCCTGTGGGCGTGCCATATGACTGACAGTCGAATCCCACTTTGTGACTTATCGATCAGACAGGAGTGGCCCATGAGTTGATCAATGGTTGCTGTTGATTAGCTACTTTTCCTGTAGTCTGTCAGTTAAAAACCAGGAAAAGCTATGTGCAGATAGACCTTTGTGTACCTTTGTACAAAAATTCTAAAGACAACAAACATTACATCTACTATTTCATCATAGACAAGCCTTATATTTGAAACTTTGTTTTAGAGCAAAGTCACTTTGAGCTGTCTGCTCAGTCCACCACGTGGAATCAGATCTCAGATTTTAGGATTGTAAGTCTTTAAACTTACTACTGTCCCACAGGGGAACTATAATTGAAACAAATTATAAATAAATAAAACAAATGTTGAATTAGCAACATTGTTAATGAATATTAACACATTTTGATTTCTTATTTTTGAAAGTTTAGAAATAGCAGTAAATTCAATTACTTATATTGGCTTGAAAACATGAAATGTATATCTTTTGTTGAAATGAATGACATACAAACTTGCAGAATACAAGAAAAGTAAATAAAAATATAAATGGAAGTTGATAAATCCATACATTGGAAACTCAAGGAGCAATTACAGTAGTAATAACCCTATAGATCTGAGTGAGTCAAAGTGTGCATGTCACGACCTTTATACAGAGTTACATTCAAAATTTAAGTAAACTACTTTATTAAAAATCTGTTAATAAACTTGACATCAAAACATAGTTTATAATTCAAAGTAATCTAAATTTATACAAAGTTACATTCAAAATATAAGTAAACTACTTTATTAAAAATCTGTTAATAAACTTGACATCGAAACATAGTTTATAATTCAAAGTAATCTAAATTTTTAATTTCAATAGGAAATGTTTAAATAAATTCTCCCTCTGCATTTCTCTCATTCACTTAATGCAATAGCATCCTGACTTCTCATTTGTAGATTTTTTTCTCTTACTTTATAAGGTTCTCTGATTGTTCAACCAGTTAGAAACACATACCATATATATATTGACAAGCCAGAGTATGAAATTTCAATCTTTTGTCATTTTGCTTTGGTGATACACCACTATATTTGTTCAACTCACATGACATCCCCTTCCCATATCATCTGTCTTTCAAGATATATTTATAATTCTCTCTGAAATTGCTATTGGACAAGTTTATAACCTAAAGAAAGAGTATATTCTGAACTATGTAAATCATATGATTGTATTGTTTTAACAGTCAAACCTGATAGTTTGAGAGAGAGCTTGCTGTGTTTAGACTAAAGATGTTACTCTGAGCAATGATAGAATTTTTAATCATTTTGTTCTATTGCCTGATATATTTTCCGTGGTCTAAAAAACATATTTGAAAACTACATGAATTATTTTTTGGACAACCAACATGGTGAGAAAACAACTGACTTACTAAACAATGCACCCAATTGCAAAACACTTCAAGGTTAAAGTAAGAGCTAAATTTCTTGTTTTTTATTAATATTTTTTTTTCATTTGTTGCTACAATATTTTTTAACAAAAGTAACTAAAATGTAAGAATTAAAAACTTAAATGAAAAAAGAAATTAAATAAATTTTATTGTGATCATTTCTCAATGAATGCATGCAACCTTCTCAGTTTGACATAACACGAAATAACCAGATATTTTGTTTATCCTAAGCTGTTCACTGTCTCTCCGGGTGATATATCGTTTACCACATTACTGGAGACAGATAAAAGTACAGTAAAAAAGCTACATCTGTTAGGATAATTAATTGTAATTGTCTGTTACAATCTGCAACCACTCTAGTCAAACAAATTTTTTTAAATTTTACTTCATATTTTTCAATATTTCATTTCACTGTCCATTATCTACAGTTAGTGTTACAATAGAGAAAATAAGAGATAAAAATATAAAGTTTAACCAAAAAAAACTGATATTAATTTAGAAAATTCTGTTTGAGGTATCTTTCTACAGTTTAAAAATCATCATTCAATCTTATTACTTATAGAAGTGTATAACGTTTATTGTAAAGAGATGATATGTAATCCTTTTGAACATGAATTTTCCAACACTAGTGTAGATAAACTGAAAAACGTTTTATTTTATTTTCTGTATTTAGGAAAGCGTTGGATTAAACAAATGGTGTTCAGTGCATTCATGCTTCCAGCCTTAATCTGTGGAACAGCCTTCCTTATCAATTTCATAGCTATATACTATCACGCATCTCGAGCTATACCGTTTGGAACAATGGTTTGTAAGAAAATGTTTTATTAGAAGTATCATTGTAAATATCATAAGGAAGACAACATTGTAACAACAACAACAAAAACTCCATAATGTTTATATTAAATATAACTACATCCAAGTTTCAAGCCAAGTGGTATCATTATTGTAAATGTTTGTAAGCTGTAAAGTAACAATAACTTAGTAAAACTCATTCATAATGTTTTGCACTGTACCTTTTTCATTTTCAAGAAAGATGACAAACAACTTCAAGGGAATATTTTTTTATTATTTTACCCAACATTTCACTTATGCTTTTTTGTGAGGGTCTTTAAGCATTCCAGGTACATTTTGTACAGCTATGACATTTTTATGTTAAAGATTTTTAAAAGTATTTCTTTATATAATTATAATTTCTAAGAAAAAAACAAAAAATTGTTCTAGCATGAACAACAAGTGTGTAAACTTCGATGGAAAATTCTTGTTGTTGTTAATTTACAAACAAATTATTAAATATATGCTAGAGTTTAAAGAGTTGGTGCAAAACCGAGAAAGATGTATATTCCTTTGAAGTGTTATGATATAAGTCTTGAGGTGCTTCCTTGTAGTTTCATTCATCTATATGAAGTAACTGATCATTGCATAAGTAATGGTCAGATACCAGAGAATAGAAGGTGTTTATTATATTACTCAGTTACTACAGTAGGCTTGTGTTCATAGCTTTTCACTAAAAATTATATCGCATTCTGTCAGTATTCCTATATTTGTCTGACAACAGTTAACGTATCAGTGCAAGCATTGATATAATGGCTCTTTCATTTTGCCAATGAAGTTCAACATTTTTTTTTATTGAACAATAAAGATGTTAGAATTATATTGCTAGTTATAAGGATGCTAGAACTATGTAACAGAAAGCGTACTGAATAAAATTGGGATGTGACATTGCTGCATGCTATGTTACATTTACATTGTATATCTCATTTTAGATCAGTAGTAAAATGTAAATGCTATGGTAGTTTCATTAGTTTTATAAATATATTCCTTAAAATTAAGTTTGATGTTTTTTGAAATTATATATTAAATTTAGTGTGTGTGTATCTATCTATCTATCTATCTATATATATATATATGTTGTGTATTCACAATCAAATAACAAGTGTTTTTGTTTAAAGCTACTCTTGAAGAATATGAGGAATCACTGGTTATTGAGTGACAATAAGAAACAAGCTACGCTTAGTAGTTGGAGTTTGTCAGCCTTTGTTTGGAATGTTCAGTTTACTAGAAATAATTTTTTTATTGCATTTTCCTGTACAATGTGTGCATGTTGGGTAACTTCCTGTAGCATATTGTCAGCTCAACACTATATTGAGTAGAATAAGCTTACTATGTTTGACAAAGTGCAAGGTACAATAATTTTTTATTGCAAAACACTATTTAACATTACTTTGATCAATGGATAAAATAGTTACTTGATGTAAAGGCTGTTTGATTTTAATTGGAAATAGCAAAAACTATCATGTGGCATTTAAGTCTGTCATGTCTGAACTAAATCAAAACTTCTTTATTCAAATAGATGCAGAGTTATAGACATAAAAACTGGCATACAGTTATATTGCTTTTAAGTTTCTGTATACAACTCTAATTTCAATGTTTCTTCTTACAAATGTAGTATATATTATTATAGCCTCTTTTTAAGAACAGATTTCCTGACATAATTCAACTTGACTATGACAAAATTCTATATAAATCATTTGGTGACAAAAGCTTGTTCTTAAAGAGCCTTGCAAACATGCAATATGTAAATATTGTACTCAGTACCACACCAGCCCATTGTTGACCGCAAAATGATTAAGGAAATTTTAATAAATACTTCTTATTTTATTTATTATTTATTTATTAGCAGATTGTTCTTAATATTCTTACTGGTGTATTCAATTTTTTTTTTATTAGTCACATAATTACTTCTAAGATTGTCACTGAAGTGGAAAGACTTGTTCAACCAACTGATACATGTAGGATACCTTTTCTTCACATTCTGTGACCCAGCATGGCCAGGTGGTTAGGGCGCTCGACTTGCAATCAGAGGGTCTCGGGTTCGAATCCCAGTCTCACCAAACATACTCGCCCTTTCAGCCGTGGGGGGCATTATAATGTGACGGTCAATCCCACTATTCGTTGGTAAAAGAGTAGCCCAAGAGTTGGCGGTGGGTGGTGATGACTAGCTGCGTTCCCTCTAGTCTTACACTGCTAAATTAGGGACGGCTAGCGCATATAGCCCTCGTGTAGCTTTGCGCGAAATTCAAAATATATACAAAAATACACATTTTGTGTTTACCATTATTGTTATATTTATTCATTAATAATTTCAACTCTGATTCATTTCCATTATCATATAATTCCAAGTTTATAAGTTAAATAATTATTTAATTCCAGGTTGCTGTAACATGTATCTGCCTATTTGTGATCTTGCCCCTGACACTAGTGGGCACAGTGCTTGGACGAAATTTGGCTGGTCAACCCAATTACCCTTGTCGTATAAATGCTGTGCCAAGGCCTATCCCAGAGAAGAAATGGTTTATGGAACCATTGGTTATTATCCTTCTTGGAGGTGTCCTGCCATTTGGTTCAATTTTTATTGAAATGTGAGTTCAGCATCACAAGGCATTTTTAAGTTCTGTTCATTATTTTTCTAACTTATGCTGGAAAAGCTATACAATAGCTTGTTTTTGTAACTTAAATGGTGTGCTTCGACTTGAAAATCCAATATTATTGATGTACGAAAAACATTTGTATGAATTATGGTTTTTAAACATATATCAACTTTTTCCAATTAAAACAACATTAAATATTAAAATTTTCAATTAATATTTGATTAAGATGACCAGTATCAAGGGCACACTTAGACATCAAACTTTACAGTTTAAATAAAAATTGTAATTGTAACTCTTATTTTGTAACTTTGTAAAATTTATGAAGTGTAATTTTCAAAGAAAATTTTTTTAAATGTTTGAATTTGTCTGCCCATCCCAAAGTATATGTTTATACTAAATCCAGACTCTGCCATTCCTTATATTCAAGGTTTTATTTAACACATTACTTTTAGTTTAATGATTATTTTCTAGAAAGATGTCTTGAGAGCCTTTTATAATAACACACTAAGTGGTTTGGACAGTAACTAATAAATCATAGTCTCTAAATAAGATGGAACCAATGGTTAAGCATGATTGGATAGAAAACGTTCTTGTGTATATTTCACGTAGTGAAGAACAAAGGATTCTGATGTGAAGTTTACGAAACTTGGGATCAAGCGACAAATCTGGCATTTTTTAGAAGTTTCTTTTGACTATGTTTTCATTTGTGATCATGTTTTTTTTTATATATGTTTTAAAACTACAGGAATATTCTCATATGAAAAGACATAGGGTATGGATATATAGGTTTAGTGAGCATATTGGTGGATACAACTCAAATTTATAACCAATGTGTTCGTAACACTAGCAGATGTACCTGCATGATGCCACGTGAGAGGTTTATGAAAGTTAACAAATTATTTATGATTCTTTTATTGATTTTATAGAGAAGGGTCATTGTGTCATTTTATCTGTGGCTACATCTTTACTGGGGTTTGTGGCTATGTATGCAGAAACCTGCCTGGGTTGGTAGGAAGGCACTGTATTGCTATGTACATAGAGAGGATATCTCCATTTAGAATAATTTCATTGAGAGATGCATTTGATTTGTATATGATGGTTAATAGTACTTAGTTTAAAAAAATAGTTTTGTATTCTCTATTTCATGCTCATAGCAAGTTGTATATATATAATAAAGCACACACTGTTAATAGGTGTTGTTATGAGGTGTTTATATCAATGAATATTAAATCCCTCAAATAATTGATGAGATTTGAAAACCACATTTTTAACAATTATGAATATAAAAATGTGTTTGTTTTTTTCCAAAATAAGGCAGTGGCAAATGTAAAGGTTGAAAGTACATAAAAAGAAAATTTATTTGTGTCCACTGGGTTTGATTATTTAAGTAACATTTTATTTGCTATTTAATTTTTTTTATCGAAAAGCAATAAGTAGCCTGTGACTCAAAAATATCTCACTTAATATAAGTGTATCTTTCTTGAAAGTATCTATAATCAATGCATGAAAAAGAAGTCTCTCAAATGATTGATGGAATTTGAAAACAAAATGCAATTGTAGAATTAATGTTTTACCAGCTATGAATATAAATAGCATTTCTATTTTTGTCCTAAATATGTCAGTAATGATTGAACATACTTATACTGTATGTATACCCCATGTTATGAAAGAAGTAACTGGAGGAATCAATACCCCTAGTGACCATCCCCATTGACTGATCTATACTTAGCCATCACTGGAGCTCTGAAATCTTTGCATTTTAAAAGAACAATAACTTCGTGACACATCCCAAATCATTCCTAGTTGATTAAATCATATTTGACAGGTCCAAATGCAAAAGCCTAGAAGAAGTTAGAGGACAAACAAATTTTTTTCAAATTATTGTAGGATTCATATCTGTACTTACAACTAAACCATGGAAAGATCATTACTGGATTGTCATATGTTCTGTAAGTAGAACACCCTGTGTTACTTAACTTCACTTTTCTGTGATCAACAGTACTATTTTTATGTACCTTCTTGAGGATTACCATATACCTCCTTCTGAAGTATAAAATTTCATATCATTTTATTGCATAGAGTAAGTAGCCCTCACCAGCCAAAACTGTGATTTTTCCACACATCATGTAACATTTCTGTCCTGTTACTATGAGTGGATTTACCACTCTGCTTCTGGGAATGCTATGCCCACCTGTGCTTTTATACACATTATGCTGGTGTGGCACTGCCTGATTGGTTGGTTGACAGCCACTCACTGTAAACTATCAGCACTTGAATGTACTCTGGTAGAGTTCATTTTCATACAGTAGAGAGTAATATTCCCACAGTATTTCTATTTTATATCTACTTTATTCACTGTTTCCATAATTATTTTCAATACAATACATATTCAAGGGAAGATTAATTGCTAATTTATAGGAACATGTACAAATCTCTGCACTTGGATATGCAATCGAGAGACAGTACAGAACCTTATCTAAGAAATAGGGTTTGTACAAGTCCTGGAAGATCATAAAATTTTCAAATTCCGTTTCCAGGTCTTAAAATTCTTGGAAGGTAATTTAATGCGCAATAGAAGTTCATATTAAACATTTATTTTTAAATAAATTTTTTTTTTTAATAATGTTACATTGGATGTAGCGTGATGGAACATATGCATGTTGTCCTGTTACTAACTTCTAGCCTTTTTTGCAATTCATTTTTTTTATAATTATGAAGAAAACTCAGTAAATTTGAGTGTCTTGCTTGTAAAGAGATGGTATTAAACATATCCTGGAAATAGATAATTACATTCTAGAATTTTGTCTTGATCAAGTGTATGAATCCAGAAACAATTATAAGCTCTCTAGAATGACCACTGTGTCAAGTAACCTTACCTTGAGCCAAGGATTAACACAAGTTTATGACTTTTACATCTTGTTCACAAGGGTAGTAACTAAATACAGAATACCTAGCAGAAAATTTTTGAAGAGGTGTTTTTGAATATACTTGGATAAAAATGTATTATTTTGTAGTTTCTAACTGCTGCAGAAGAAGTATTGAATTTTAATGGTTTTTATTACATTTAAAATATTTTGATTTTTTTAAAGTTTTATTAATGATTTTCAAATATTGTAATTTATGTTTGTTTAAATTTATACTATTTCAGATTGTATTTTATATATATATATATGTACATGTTATTACTTCTGCACTGAGAATTTGTTATCTTATAAAGAAACGTTTTTTTTTTTTTGATAGATCTGGAACTTTTAAAAACTCATTTTTTTGCAATCCATTAGTTCATCTTTATAAATTTTATTTTTTCCCCTCTATAATATATATTTTCACTCTGTTCGTTTCTGAACTTTATACCTGTACCTTTTTAAACCATATATACTCCATCACCTTGTAATTTACACAACAAGGTAAGTTCCATATTTCATATGTAATGCTGTAGTCATAGTTTATATTGTTTACAAGTATGACTATAATATTTATCCCAAACTGTTTATCAAATTCATTTCTCTATTTTTTTTACTATAATTATGAAATGTTCTTCAAATAACACACACTTTGCAGCAATATCCACTAATACAGATTGATACATATACTAATTTCATTTTAACTTATTACTAACATTTTGTTTTGAAAAATAAACCATATCATGATGTTAAACCTATTACAGCAATATATGTATGTATAAGATGTCACATCACATTTACCTAACTTAAAATTTGTTGTATTCTTCACTAATGATAATATAATTATAAAGTACAAAAATTATCTTAATTTTCATATGTCTTGGTGTAGTATTACAAATTGGGTAAGTCAGTTTGACAGTTCTCTTGTAACTAATATCATGTGAAACTTGTGTGATTTCAGGTACTTTATATTCACTTCATTCTGGGCCTACAAGATTTATTATGTGTATGGGTTCATGCTGCTTGTGTTTTTGATCCTGGCAGTTGTCACTGTATGTGTCACCATAGTCTGTATTTATTTCCTTCTCAATGCTGAAGATTACAGATGGTAAGTGATGTTCCATTCTGACTTGTTTGAAAATGTGAAAAAATAAATTCTGTATTTTTGTTGTTGTTGTTGAGTTTATATAATTACACCATCAGACTTGTAAGGTGATTATTCATTTATATAAATAACTTATAAGGTATTTATTTATCTACTTAAGGTTTTAATGGTGTGTGGACGCTTTTTCCAATTCTTATTGAAAAATTTAAATTCAGTCAAAATTATTTTATGATTAATTCAAATTAAAGAAGAAGTTTATAGTAATTTAGCATCTAAACGTGTTTATAAAAACATGTTTATTGCATGCAATATCCTACAGAGTGTAGTAGGTAAAATATAAACCTAATAACAGCACAAGCACTATTGAAAAGTAAACTTCCTCCACTAGGGCTAAACTGGAAATATATTCACTAGAAAATCAATTCCCAGTTTAACTCTGAAAAAGAAAAAAAGGTGTACTTTTTGTAAGTACTCAGTTAACTCAAGTTATTTTTTTGTGATCATTGTACTATACTAGCATCATGAAACATTTATATTCTATAGAGCAAGATCAAAAGAAGAAAAAATAATTAAGATTTTAGGATTTGTTAGAACTGAGAACAGCTTGGGAAGAGTTGTTCTAGCTTAAACGTATATTGGCAAAGTACAGTATAAACATAAAATCTGTTGAACATTAAAAGTATCAGATAGAAAAAGCTTAAGAAATGTCTTAATCATAAGTAAATAATTAAATTAGTCTATTCTATTTTGATCATGAATAAACTTTAGAAATAGCTATAAATTTAAACTGTATGGTTTATAATACCAAATGTGATCTATTTCTGATTAAAACAAGTATAATGGAACATAGCAGTAAGTATTTACATCACTCAAACTGAGTTATTCTGGTTCCTAGTGTAATAAAAGTTCATTTGCACTTTAATTGTCATAAGCAAGATCCTTTCTTAATATCAATGTCCACCATTTTAATTGTCATAGGCAAGATCCTTTCTTGATATTGGTGTTCACCATTTTAATTGTCATAGGCAAAATCCTTTCTCAATATCAGTGTTCACCATTTTAATTGTCATAGGCAAGATCTATTTTCAATATCAGTGTTCATCATTTTAATTGTCATAGGCAAGATCTATTATCAATATCAGTGTTCATCATTTTAATTGTCATAGGCAAAATCCTTGCTCAATTTCAGTGTTCACCATGTCTCTCAATTTACACAACCAAACATTTTGGAGTAAATGCTGTTTATATCATTCATATATAAAGCATTTAGTTGTATTATTTGTAACTGCTATTCTTCTTAGGAAAACAAGTGTGATAAAACATGACAGTAGAACAGAAACTGTTTTTAGCGTTACTTCCCTTTCTTTTTTTTTTCCAAGTCAGTACAAGTTTATAGTAAAAACTGTATGAACTTTTCATATTGTTCTTGTACACTACTGTCTGTACTCAGTGGCAGAGCACAACATACACACACACATAAGTTTGTTTAAGATGTTGATACCAGTCCGTATATTAGCCATAAATGTTGTACTGTTAATTATGCCATTGCTTACCGAGAGTGCTTCTTGTAAGAGATGTGTATAATCTTTTGTGTACTACATGACTGAGATAACACTTCAGCTACTGTTGTTACTTAGTTGCTATAATGATCTCTGGTAATAAATCAGAATGTTAAGTCTCATCAGTGGTGTTCTTCAGCCAGTACATTTTTTTATTGAAATGCTAGTATATATATTCATCGTACTGGAAATCTGTTTTTGTCCAGTTATAGAGTGAGAAAAAAAAGCATTTCTAGTCCTAGTATGCTGGTTTTTTTTTGTTGGATTTTATTCGTATTGTTGCCAATATTTCAAACCTTAACATATGCATTTGCAGTCAAAACTGTGAGACATGAGCAAGAAAAACTATCCATGAAATGTCTATTTCAGTTCTTTACGTGTTCACAACAAACATGGTAAGGAAAAATTCATTTACTAAACTTGAGTTTTGGGCACAATATAAATATGCAAGGCCCTTTATTTATTCATGTACTTCTTAATTTATAAATATTTCATGAAAGACTGAGTGCATTTTTGATCTTTTCTTTCAGGCAATGGACTAGCTTCTTGGCTGGTGCTTCCACAGCTGGCTATGTGTACTTGTATTCCTTATATTACTTCTTTTTTAAAACTAAGTAGGTAGCCATTAATCTGCCCATAAAATTATATAAAAAATATTGAATTTTATATTTACTTATGTAGTGGGTATAATGCTGTTCTTAAATGTACCCCTAATGAGATGTTTAATTGCACAAATAGTAGTAACTTCAAGGTGATTTAACTTCCCCATTAAAATTAAAGTTCTATTTTCACATGATTAATTCAGTTAATTGTTGTCCATTTCACCTATTACTGTCATGCAGCATTATAGCTTTAGGAATCATAGGTGTTATTTTTCATACAAGTAAGATGACAAAAGAACACTTAATAGTTGTAACAGTTTTTAATGCTGCTTTATGAAATTGTAATTTGAACTTATTGTTTAGTCACATTCTCAAGACTCTTAAGATAGTGTAAAAAAGTATTATTGCTAACAGTAACTTTTATGTTGTATAAAGATATTGTGGCTTTGATATAAATAAGTATTGTAACATTAATACATATTTACTGACAGATTAGTCTTTAATGCTGCTTTATGATATTGTAATTTGAACTTATTGTTTAATTTGAGTGATTGAAAAAAAAGTAATGCTTAGAAACAGTTAAATGGAGAAATAACGTAATTGAACAAAATGGTTGAAATCCACTTGTACTATTTAAGACATAGAACATTGGATTATAATTTGATCTATACAAAAATATTAAGTCCACTAAGAACATTATAAAACATTTCAGTGGCAAGGTTTTCCAGATTGAAAAGCCAAAATAAAGATTGCTAAAGAAATCCTATGTTATAAATGTGACTGTAATCAGCTTTGTAGTGGAGTTATCTGCATGATTATCACATGTAAACTTGTGAATAAACAGTAGAATTTAGATAGTAAACCCTTCCAAATTAATTTTCAGTTGAAATTTAGTGCTCGTGTTACTTTCTTTTAAGAAGATTGGGTGCTTTAGAGTAATGTACTTACTATTAAGAAATATTTTAAAGTGTTAGGAAAAGCAGCTAATGCATATTTCTTGGTTAATTTCTAAATAGAGTTGCGATCTTACTTAATTGAAGATTTGCAAGAAATTTATCCTGTAAATTCCTTGTGTCTATTTTATATTGATGCTTGATATAAAACTTTACACTTTGTAGATACTGTAGCAATGCATTAAACCAATTATTATAAAAATAAAATTCTATTGTAAAAAATGATACAAATTTTTGAGGAGGAGTAATGGTGCCAACTTTATATTAGTCATATTAAAAATGTGCTTAAAAAGTATCGTATGAATACAGTTTAACTTAGTAAACATAAAATGGTGATAAACAGATATGGGAAGCCAACCCCCTATGTTATGTATGTATGTATGAAGTAAAGGAGTAAAAAAGATCAGTACACATACAGGTCATAAGCTAGATATGAAGGATTACTTGGCATAGTCGCTCTATCTCTGGTGTATATGCTGCTTTTCAGCTATCCAGAGTATCCCAAAGACAAAAACTGGCAACAGCCAAAACTGAGATTTCTTATTTTTATTCATCATCATCTTTCTTCAATAGGCCTAGTGCTTACCTAGTTCTAGCAGTAACTATAATTTTATCATCATTTGATAGAGTTAAACAGTCTTCACAATCTTTGACTACCTATTTTATTATTATTCTATGCAAAATTTATAATGCTTTAGAATACACACTATAACCTAGTAACCCATGTATGCCATCTTATAAAAAAAGTTAACAAACAAGTATTAAGAAAAATTTATCACTAAATACAAAAGCTATGTAGGGCTGGCTGCTGAACTTGAAAAAAAAAGGAACCAAACAAGATAGGGATGGAAGTAGACATATAGTTGATCCGGCTAATGATCACATAGCAGATTAAGCCGTCTTAACTTTACATGGAGAATATAATCCCTGTACTACTGGCTTCCTCACTGGCAAAACAAATAGAACCAGAATTTCCAATTATAAAATAGACATAAAAGCAGTATTCTCTAGCTGAAATTTTATTCAAACACCAAGATTTCAACAGACAAAGTTGACATCGTAAGGTCATTATAAACAGCAAACTATATAAAATTTGTTAGAGAAGAATGGATTAGAATTTTTATGTTTCATATGCCTTCAATCAAAATGAATGAAAAACTTTTTCTTTTTTTTCTAGAATGTATGGCCTTTTTCAGTCCGTTTTCTATTTTGGCTATATGGCTTTGTTTAGCATAGCTCTTGGAATTCTTTGTGGTAAGATTCTTCATTTCAAATGCTATTTGGCACATTCTTTATTTTATATTTTCTTTAGGAAAATAATTAATTTTCAGATACAGTAATGTGCACTCTTTTAATCAGACAATAAAGCCACATTGTATCGAAATAAACCAGTTCTTGCATCATTTATTTTTTTAAGACTATTTTTGTGTGATTGTATTTCTGGAAAAGTGAATTGACAATGTTACTGGAGAAAGGTACTTTTTTTTTATAAATTGGTTAGTGCTTGGATTGTATTATATGTGCTACTGTAAATGTTACACGAAAGTTGGTTCTCATTTAAGGTTGTCAGTGTCTTAGATTATTCAAAAGTTACTTTTTGCCAGTTAAATTATTTAATCTACAATGTTTTAGTTGGACACACAATACTGTCACATATCTAATCCAGTTATAAAATTCTGCTTATAAAAGCTGATATAATTATGAAACCATAAAAAAATACCTGAAACGAATATCGTTTGTTCATAATAAGTTAGTATTTTATAAAATACTGCTGCTTTAACATTTAACTTAAAGTACTTTGTTCAGTCATTCTAAAATTTATTTGTAACTTTATGTAAGTTTACGTTATACAAAAAAAAATCACTTTGTTTTTTCTTTTTCTTTACAGGCACCTTTGGTTACATTGGGACCAGCACATTTGTCCATAAGATCTATTCTACTGTAAAAATTGACTGAATTTTCTGTACAAAAGCTGGTGTTGGGAAAACTTTGTACTATTCTGTGAGAGTGCAAGTTTAGAAGAGCTTAGCATTATTCACAGCATGAGGTCAGCGGGATTGCATCACAGTTCTGTAAGAAAAGACACTGTTGGCACATTCCAAATTTAGCCAGAAAATGAGTTGTGAAACATATACAAGCTTCCCAAAACTATGATAGTCAACGTGGTTACACAAAGTCTCATTTCAATGAAAATTATCCCTTTATATTATGAACACACATTTCTCTTGCTTATTATTAGAAGAAAAAATATCATCTTAAATGGTTAAACTTAAAAGATTCATATTAAGTTACTTAAAGGTAATTCACATAGATTATTTGTTTAGGATAGTATAAAAATGCATTAATAGCATGAAAGATAATAGCATATAGAATTGTATTGAAAGGAAATAATTCACGTTTCAAATTAACGTCAAAATTGTTCTTCTAAAGTTTGTGTGAAGCTCTGCTTCTATTAACATTATTATACTTTTATTGAAATTAAGATGTATCTGTAATGGTGTACATAAAAACATTACATTATTGAATTAATATTTTTTTCTTGCTGCATAACACTTACTATCTTAATAGAAAAAAAAAAGTTTCATTTTATGTCAAAATAGGTTTTGCTTTCTTTGTATGAGGAAATGTAAAATCAGAATATATAAAACTAAGGAATTCAAAAAATACAAATTTACTTCTGTTTCATACACACTTATTCATATATATATATTTAGTAAATATATATAAGGAATTTCATTGTTGTTTAAATAAAGTGCTGAAAGTTATGTTGTAGAAACATTTCTCACTAGAGTATGTGTATCCCTTTGGAGGGATGTATTACCATAGACACACAAAGTTATTTTAGTGTGGTTGATTCTGTTTTGTTGTAAATTACAAATATTAAGAATAGTCTCATCATTTTCATTTCTTAGAATTTTAAATCTAATGTAACCAGAAAAGCTTTTTCAGCAAAATTGAGGTACATTTATACAGAAAAATTTCCTCTTATTTTCAAAGTTTCATGTAGTGTAATGTTTTTATAAGTGATCGGTTTAAGATCATTAATGAAACCATTTTAAAAACTGTAGTATATTAGTACTTCTCATCTTAATATGTTATGATTTGATTTTTTGCAGAAAGTATGCGAGTTTGCATTTAAATTAAACATTAAATTTTTCTCCCTAGCCTTTTTTTAATGATTATTTTAAAGAAATAAAAAATAAAAAACTTACAAGATATAATGTGAAAGCGATTTATTCTCTTATTGAAATCTATACCATGATTAACTAAGACCTGCATTTTTTATGTATTACAACTCATTTCAGCTGGCACAAAGATCTGGTTTTGTGTGGGAATTAGCTTAAAGTATCTTTTTACTTATATACATGCCTATTTTAAGTTTTAAAAAATTAAGACTATGGAGGTAAATTTAGCATTCCAATTCTATCTAATCCACTTGTTGCATTATATATGATAAAAAATCTGTAAAATGAGATCAATATTAGTAATAAAACATGTACCATGATAAACATTATATCATGAAACATTGCCGTTGATATGACAGAGATGACATAAGGTGAAACTTCACTTCTCTGCAGGTCTGGTGTGTGTTTTATTAATTAATATGTCTACAACTTATCCAAAAGCAAGGTGAAGAAAACCTGAGTTATAAATAAAGCAAAAAGTCTCAAACACTTTAGCAGTGGTGTGTGAATAAGCAAAACTAGTTAAAAGTTGAGAATACACAAACCATTCAAATGAATGAATATTTCTATTTTCAGTAAAACTGTTGTAGTAAATATTTATTAGAGCACACATTACTTATATTTGCAATAAAAATTGTAATTAATTTACATTTCAGGCAATTTATATTATCAAAAACAAGGTTATTGTTTCTACAGTTGAAAAAGATAACTTGTTGTGAAACATACAGGTTACCCCTAACTGTACGGATAATAGTTTACTTTTATCAACTTAATTTTTTTTTAACTTTTAGTCCTAATATTTCATGCCAGATTTAATTGCATTTATATCATCACATTTTTTTCCCTTCAACATGATGTTTAAACATGTATTACCAGTTAGTACCAGATCTTTACCCTGTTAAGATTGCCACTGTTACCAATAAACGTTCAGAAATAAATTGGTTGTATGTAATGAAATGCTGGCTTCCTATCAGTACTTTTTATTTCATAAGCTACTGTAGTTTTTTTACCAAACAAATTATTATATCATTTAAGCATGCTTTGTGTAAGTAAAAGCAAAGAAATAGTTTTATGATTCAGAGAACATATTGCTTTTGCTTTCTGCAAGGCCTCTGAAAATGGTTTTGACATAAAATTATTGTAAGAATATTGTATACCAACTAAATACTCTAAAATCATAAGCAGGGTGGGGGAGTGGTGTAACATACAGGATGTCCCAGTAGTCTGAACCCATTGGGAAAAATACACGATGTATTCTTAATTTATTTATTATTCAAATTGAATGCCATTAACAGCCATACAAATATCAATTATTGTTATACTGTGTCATTGGAGTATTTTCTTTCCTGAAATATGTACAACTGACGTTAGAAATGTGTTCGTTTAACTTTAATATTATAATGTATATTTTCCCTACGGGTCCAGACTTCTGGGACACCCTGTACACAACTTAATTTGACTGGACTACAATGTATAGTCAGAACTGAAGTCAGTTTTTTTTTTTTAATCATACACTGCCTTATGTGCATATGAAACCCGAATTGAAGTTGTACATGTTTTTATATCACTATAAACTCTGTAATACTGGTATTAAAGCTGGTTAGTTATGTGAATTTTCCATATGGACATTTTTGATCCCCTTGTAATAATATTATGTTTCTTCCTTTACAAGGAATAGTTGTTTTAGGATGTTTGGATCAATAGAATTCATTAATAAAAACAAATTAAATTTAGTTAAAACAATCTGTATTTAAAAGTAATTATGCAAGTGAGGAAAGATTTAATCTACTGGATAATCCAATTCATATGAATGCTTAATGAAGTCAGTAATAATTTCAAACATCTTTTATTTTTTTAAAGTTGTGTCACACTTTATTCTAAATCCTTGTTGCCTTTTCTTAGAATATGACCTTTAATACATGTTCTTTACTTCTACATAGGTATGCAGACTTTGAAAACTTGTGAAACTGTTGGAAAGAGATATCATGGGAACTTAAACAAGACTAGTCACATTAAGATAACTTGCAATGCAAGAAAAACTTGGTCAACATTAAAAACCTTGTTCAGCTTGATTACTTCAAGTTCAGATGTATGTACTTTGAAAACTGTTAACTGAACACAACATAATTTACTGAAAACCTTCTGAATGTCATTATGTGCCTCAAGCAATGGAACAGGGAAAAATTTCTCAACACAATCAAATAAAGATGATAAAAAAAGTAAACATCTAATATGTAACAGCATGAGGGCTTAATATAATCAGAGATGCACCTGTAAAAGAAACATAAAATTCCTTTTTTGACCTTCTGCTACATAGAGATAAAAAATTTAGTTAACAGCTCCCTCTGCTAAGGACAGAAGGGAGAAACATGTCAATTAGTATTACCACAGATGATGCTTTAGACAACTGAAGCATCTATTAACCAGTGTTCCATCGCTAAGCCATCTCGTACCAAGCTGACAGTTTTGAAATTGTTCAGATGTCCATCTGGAACTGTGGCTCTTCCTGGTTTTCTGAAAGATAGAAAATTATGAATACTTATATTTTATAGTTTCTAAAACTTAAAAAACAATTGCTATATAAAATAAAAACTCCAGAAAGTATCATATATATATGCATTGTTCAAAAATTCAATGTATATATAAATATGTGCTGGGTAATTAGTACTAATTGATTAACTGACAGCCCAATTAATCAGTTAGTACTAGTAAAAAAAAAAAAGTTAACTGGAAGGTGCTGCAAATTAATTGCTTTCACTATGGTCAGCAGTTCCAAGCTAGTGAGAGTGTCAGATAGCCTTAGCAGCTTTAGCATAACACATATTGACAAGGCAAGCAAATCTGGTCGCAATGGGAATCCAACATAAGATCTTGATATCACTAAAATTAAACACATTTGAAGCAAAAAATAGTTATGAGGCTAAAATTTGCAGAGCACATATAGCCAATTATATAGTTTTAGCTCAACAACAAACATAATAGCAATGTTTTGATTACTTGATTAGATTATGTGACACTAATCAATGTAGGTACTGCTCATGGGTAATAAGCAGTATATCTGTGGACTTACAACACCAGAAACTAGGTTTTGATACCTGTGGTGGGCAGAACACAGATAGCCCATTGTGTAGCTTTGTGCTTAATTACAAACTTAAGTAATAAATAAAATTGCCCAGCATAGTAACTTATCTAACTTTTGTAATAAATGAGTTGTGAATGTGGTTCTTAAAACTAATAACACAGGCCTGCAATGTCTTGAAATGTTTACATGTTCTACAGGTTCGTTAAATTCGAAAACAATATCCATTTTTCTTCATCACGTACAGATTTTTCACAAAACGTCATAATGCAATACATAAAAGAAAGACCACAACACAGAGTTTTTAGACTAAAAGATGTAGATTTCACACAAAAAAAAATTCAGTATGAATGAGGATGCATATTCATTTAACATCAATGTTCTTCCCTTTTGTTCAATTTGTATTGTTGTTAACAAACATAATAATAACAAATGTTCATTGTGGTAAATGAAATAAAAATTTGATATAAGTAAAGAGTTTTTTCTTATCAATTTATAAAAAAATCCTTACATGATAGAAAAAAATATTATTTTCAAAATCTGCGTAGCTGAGTCATGGAAAATCTATTATTAAAACCAAAACAACTTTTATAAAGTTTAAACTTGCAGGCCTGTGTAATTATTTAAAAATCTGAAACAATAATTTCAATAACTTTTATTTATTTTGGGTTTAATCTATAGAAATATTTTGCAACCTTAGTAAGGTGTCTTCACACAACTTCTAAGGCTGAAACTTTAGAAATGTTATTAGGTAATAATTTCACATTTTCTAAGAAGAATTCCAAAACATTTACTTACAAAAATCACAGTTCCTTCACTTTTTTTTTTAATTTTCAATGAAAAACATAAATAATTGTAGTTTTCTTATAGTTAAAAAAAAAAGATCAAACTTACTAATCAATATCACTTGTAGGGTCTTTATATCAACAAGCAGTAGTCCTGAGACCTAACATTAGCAGAGGATGGTATTCTTTGCAGTTACAAGTTGAAGAAAACTGTCAATTATTAGCTAAAAACCTCCATATATTTGCTTTTTTTTTAATTTTTTTACTTTTGCTAAAAGCAAGAGAATAAAATTTAAAGATCATTATATACACCTGGAAAAAAGTTAAGCACCCCCAAATATTTTTCAGGATTGCTTATTGAAAATAAGGTTTAATTTTCATGATGTTGAGCAATGTTCATAATTTCA